TTAAGGTCCTTCCAAACCATCCTGGGATTCTATAAAAAATGCCAAGTCCCACGACCCTGGAGAAGGTATAAAATTCCCCCTCAATGTGCTGGGATGGAACAGGATGTATGAAACAGGGACCATTTCTGGGAAGCAAAACAAGTCTCCCACTTCACACCCTGCTCCATTTACCTTCTGATGAAGGAGAGCAACCCTGGAAGTTCCCTGTACTGTGTTGTTTCCACAGTGCTGCACCACCTCAGCAAGAGGTTTGGCTCTGAACAGAGAGCCCACACTACAAAGGGCTTGTGTGCTGCTTATCCAAGTGTGCAGACCTCAAGTCTGGAGCTGTCAGGAGAGCTCAGTCTGCAGCAATCCCTGTTTGCATGCACAGAGCTGACAGACCAAGGTGACATTTCCATCTCCTTCCTCCTCTCCTGCCACCCACCAGCAAACCCCAACCCATTCCACTCTTTCAAAGCTACAACACACTGAAACTCCATTTTTAAGACTTGCTTGGCTGAAATGGGATCACAGAATCATAGAATAACAATCAGTATTTCCATAATGCTGTTTGCCACATTAGTTTATTGTTGTTCTTTCCCTTTACATGGCAGACAGACCCCAGAGCTTTCAGTCTCCCAGAGCAATGCTCCCAACCCAAGCACCAACCAGGTCCTACCACATCTCCTCACAGTTTATTTTTTATCAACTTCTCAGTGTCAGCACTGTCACAAAAGCACTGCAGAGCTGCCAGTGGCATCCTTGCAAATCCCTACATGCAAACCTGAGCTTTTTCCCCTCCCTCTCCTCCAATTTTCACACGAACTTGTGATATTGGTCAAGGTCAAAACTTCACATTTCACCAGCAGGCACAGGGGGAGGGTAAAAATTTGCTGTAAAACTGTGAAATTCTGCCTTGGGGTGGGGGGGAAATGGCATATTTTCCTGAATTCACTGTCAATGAAATAGCCAGAGAAATGACATCATTTGGAACAGATTTTTTTTTTTTCTGCAAGAAAGATCAACTCAGAGAAATGACATCATTTGGAACAGATTATTTTTTTTCCTGCAAGAAAGATCAACTTCCTCCCACCCTCCAAAAACCTGTGTTTGTTATCTGAGGAAAACTGATGAAGTCTGGTGCAAGTATGGGTTATTTCTTGGCAGTGGTGTGGATATTTTTCTGCCAGAGTTTAGACAGATGCTTCAAACAGAGCAGGACATGTGAAGCTGTGTGCTGTGCTCTCTGAGAGTCACACACATTATAAAACTTTCAAACCAGAGCATTTATCATTTACAACCAGGGACATCAAGACGTGCTTTGAAAATGGTAAATACATATTTACAGGCTTGTGTGATAACCCAGGAATGCTCTGGGGAGAATGTTCCTATATATCCCCCTCAATGTACACACTTCTCTCCTTGAGTTTGGCAGTTATTACAGTTCAGACCACTCTAAAAAAAGCAGCAAAAATAAATTGCACAGAAGTGACCTCTCCTAACCTCATTGGTATGCCTTGAAGGCACTGAACTCAGCAGCATCCAGAATTCCATGCTTGGATTCACTGACTGGTGCTGGAAGTTGAGTGGGGCTGAGGAAAATGGGCTGTGTAGAGCAGGATTTGGGCTGAATGGCAAGAAAACTCTTCCTCAGCAACAATCCTCAAGTGAGCAGTGAAAATGTATACTCTGTGATCTTTGATCTTGCACTGGGAAAAATCTATCATAATCAATCAACCAATCAATCACCATTTATACTGGTGCTTTAAGCCAGAGTATATTGGAGCTGGTTGGTTAGCACTTGTATATTCATTTTTCAAGTGA